TTCCTCATCCACTCATATAATGTTTGACCATTCTATGCACAGCAGCCTGATTTAAAAAATAATAAATTATACAATAACTTTCCTATTAAAAACTTGTCCACAACACTTAGATTTAAGTTTGAACTCCTGGTCACTGCATAAAAGACCCTATATGTTTTCTGGCCCCTGATAACTCTCCAGTTTCATCTTGTTCCAGCCTCACACTTGCTCACTGTTTTTAGTCATGCTGACTTTCTTATGGTTGCTTAAATACTTGGAGCAAGTAGGTCTTACAGGTGAGTGAACCAGGGTGACTCCATCTTGAATAGGGGCTGTGTAAAATAAGGCTGAGGCCTACTGGGCTGTATTCCCAGATGATTAAGGCATTCTAAGTCACAGGATAAAATAGGAGGTCAGCACAAGCTACAGATCACAAAGACCTTGTTGGTAAAACAGATTGCAGTAAAGAAACTGCCTAAATCCCACCAAAACCAAGACGGCACTGAGAGTGACCTCTCCTAGTTCTCACTGCTATGCTTCCACCAGTGCCACGAACAGTTTACAAAGGCCATGGCAATGTCAAGAAGTTACCCTATATGGTCTAAAAAGGAAAGGCATGAATAATTCACCCTGTATTTAGCATGTCATAAAGGAATAACCATAAAAATGGGCAACCAGCAGTCCTTGGGGCCGCTCTGTCTATGGAGTAGCCATTATTTTATTCCATTACTTTCTCAATAAAGTTGCTTTCACTTTACTAACTCACCTGCATTCTTTCTTGTGTGAGCTCCACGAACCCTCTCTTGGGGTCTGGATTGGGACCCCTTTCCTGTAACAGGTCCAGCCAAGACAGTCTACATTATCAACTTGCACTTCACATAGTTACCGGTTTACTTGTTAGTATCTATTTCCTCTTGTTTTCACATATATTTATATTGCCTAAATGTGTATGATAAACATTTATTTTCATAGCCAAATTTAGCTTTTAATGATACAAATATTCGATTATTGGTATTATAGAAACAAACTGCCACTTGATCATTAGTTTTGACTTGCTTTTAAACTACTTTTATTTATTTGTCCTTTTACCCAACTGTCAATATGCTACGTGTAACTGAAATCTTCCAAAAGAATAAAATTGTTTTTTACATGTAAAACTGCTAATATATTTCTTAAAGGTTCTTACTAATGATCCTTTTAATAATTTATACTCATTCTGAATACACTTTAAATGAGATGACTTGCATCATTTTTGTTAAACAAAAACACCCAACTTCTTTGTTTCCTATAAACTCAATTATTAACTGCTTTTATTTTTCTCTGTTCTCTTGACCTCCCTCCTTCTTGTGATAATCTTGCTTGAGTAGCAGAAAGCATATTCAGATGCATTCCAAAAAGATTCAGATTCTTGTAGACAGGGTTTATTGATTTATAAGCTAAAATGAAGAGCACGTGCAATTGGTATTTCTGACTGGCAAAGTTTCAGAGAACACAGATGACTCTGTACCATCATTTTGATGGGATGATTTTTTTTTTTAAGAGGCTAGGGAGCCCTTAGGTCAGAGACCAACTATCAACATATCCACACAAAAATACACACACATTGAACAATCTCTCTACTCTTCTTACAAACATTCTTCCATTACAAACTTCTGACATAGAACAAGGGAAATGCAGAAGAGCAGCCTTTTCTTTATAAAATGGTGCTACAATGAAAATCTTAACTTGGCAGAACTTCTAACCTGGTCAGTCTTTGAAAGCTTCTATGAGTCCACTTTCAAACTCTGAGGATCTACAATCACCACAATATCTAACAGGTAACTCTAAGGTTTAGTTCCTCCCTTGTTTTTATTTGAATTTTGAATTTTTCCTTCTTAACCTTTTTCTGGAGTGGAAAAAGGAATTCAAGTCAGATAGAACCATTTAGTTATAATCCTGAGGATTCAGACACGAGCAGAGTAAATATATGCATTTATCAGTTTAAAATAAAACAAATGTAAACTATGACTCAAAACCACCAATGTTTCATAGGAGAAGGCTATGTGTCTTCATTTTAATACAGTAAAATTTTTTGTTTAAATTCCCTTTCACTGGGGCCAAATGTCAACCACCAACATATTTACCCATGAATATACATAAACTTTGCCCCCTTCTCAGGAACATTCCTTCTTAACAGTGTCTATAATAAAGAGAGAGGAAAACATCAGAAACCATGCTGAGTTGTGTATTCTTTTGAAATAATATTGTTGTGACCATGAAAACACTACGTACGAGAATAGTGTGTCAAAAAAGGTTCTTATTTAGCCAAATATTTTCATTTACATATGAGGCAACTTAAGTCCAGTTGTGTATTGCTAGCTAAAAACAAAAGTGGTGTTGTTTCCAAAAGCATCTTGCTACCCACTAAGGGTGGAATACTTAATTGACCAGGAAAAATAAGTTTAGACTAGATTACAGGAAGTTCACAAGTACTTATTTCAGATTTTAATATTTAATGAATGCATCACTACTCTTTTCCAAGGAAGGTGGAAAAGGAATAAGATTCAAAATTTTCTAGTGAGAATGGTAGTTTTATAGGCAACAGTAAATCCTTAAGATTATTATAGGAAGTTCAGAGATTTAGTCTCAAAATCTCTATAACCTTGGGATTACAATATTGGAAAAATATATTCTGTCTCCTTCCTATAAATTAATTGGGAATACAAAAAAATTAAGGTTACACTGGTAAAATTAGGGTTATACACAGAAAAGGCACACTGAAATAAAACTTTTAGTTCTACCTCAGTTCTCAATTAAAACACCAGTCACACTTAGCACAGAGTTCACATGTACAACTGTTCAATTACAGTTCATAAAAGCACCTGAACATAACATAGAGCCAAAGCAATCCTGGACAAATAGAACAAAGCTAGAAACATCACACTACCCGACTTCAAAATATAATACAAATCTATACTAACCAAATCAGCATGGCACTGGCATAAAAACAGACAACAGACCAATGGAACAGAATAGAAACTCAGCTATAAATCTATGCATTTACATCCAATTCATTTTTGACAAAGGCGCCAAGAACATATAATGGGGAAAGGGCAGTCGCTTCAGTAAATGGTGCTGGGAAAACTGGATACTCATGCAGAAATGAAAAACTAGACGCTTATATCTCACCATGTATCTAAATCAGAATGTATTAAAGACCAATCTAAGGCCTCAAAACTATGAAACTACTAGAAGAAAGCCTCGTGGAAAGGCTCCAGGACATTGGTCTGGGAAAAGGTGTAAGAAGACCTCAAAAGCACAGGCAACTAAAGCAAAAATAGAACAGGATTACGTTAAGCTAAAACACTTTTGAACAGCAAAGGAAACAATCAACAATGTAGAGAAGGGCAGAAAATATTTGTGAACATCCATCTCACAAGGAATTAATAGCTAGGAGCTCAAACAACTCAGAAGTAAAGAAACAAATCATCTAATTTAAAAATGAGCTAAAGATCTGAGTAGACACTTCTCAAAAAACGTATATTAGTGGTCAACAGGTATGTGAAAAATGCTCAATACCAATGATGATCAGGGAAATGCAAATGAAAACCATAGTGAGATATCATCTTATCCCATTTAGAATGGCTTTTCTCAAAAAGACAGAATAACAGATGCCAGTGAGGGCGTGCAGAAAGAGGATTCCTCATATACTATTGGTGGTAATGCTAATTAGCACAGCCACTATAGAAAATCGTATAGAGGTTCCTCAAAAAACTAAAAATAGAACTACAGAATGATTCACCAATTCCCAATTCCACTACTGGGTATGTAGCCAAAAGAATGGAAATCAATACATTCAATTGATACCTGCACTCCCATGTTTCTTGTAACACTATTCATAACAGCCGAAATATGGAAATCAACCTAACTGTCCATCAATGGATGAATGGATAAGAAAATGTGACATATATATATAATGAAATATTATTCAGCCATACATGCAACCATAAAAAAGAATGAAATCCTGTCATTTGTGGCAATATGGATGGAACCGAAGGTTATTATGTTAAGTAAAATAAGCCAAGAATAGAAAAACAAATATTTAGTTCTTCCTCCTATGTGAGAGCTAAAAATGCTGGCCAGGTTGGTCTCAAACTCCTGATGTCAAGTGATCTGCCCACCTCGGCCTCCCAAAGCGCTGGGATTACAGGCGTGAACCACAGCGCCCAGCTTCTATTTCTTGAATAATTAAAGTAAGACTTCAGCTTATGAAACAAAACAATCTAACAATGGTTCGGTCAATGTAGTTTGAAGGGGACTTTATGAGAAAATTCCACATCTATTAAATCATGGCCTACAAATAAGAATCCTTTCTTATTTTTTTAAGCAGAATTTCAAATTTTATGACCTATATTCTCTTAATTTTCCCTTTCTGGCTATCTCAGGAAATAATGAGTGCTATAGAAAAGGATGGCTAAGAAAGAACTGTTATACACAGGAACTTAATTCTTCTTGACATTTTGTCCCAAGAGTTGCCTCTGGGTATATATTGTCTTAGACACCACAGTGATTCATATCACCTTGGACATATTACTTCTGATCTAGCATGACACTGCCACAGAGGTCAACTGAAGTTCCACATAGCTAACATAGGGAGAGCAAAATAGGCACAGCTTCCATGCAAAGACTGTGGCAAAACATTCTCTGGGATTCACAGAACACATATTATTATTAAATTTCTATTAATTATAAACATGAAACAGAACTGGATATTAAAACAGCATTTTCATACTTGATATTCAGTATTTTCAGTTGCTTGACTGGTGTTGTTAAAAAATGTATGTCCAACAACTTAATCATTAGTGCAGTCATGTAAGAGAAATTGCTAACTAATTGCTATTAGTACAGCCATATTAAGAGGAACTATAAATAGAAAATCTGCAATACAGGTTTTAGTTTTGATTTTGACATAGAATTTATATGAGGACATAAGCATTTCATTAAATGCCATTTTGCCTCAATTTACCTACTGGGCACAATACTTCAATATCTCTTTCTAATGTAAGAAAACCATATTCCCGTTCAAATTAATGGCTTCAATATAGGATGTTCAATGTGAAACATATAATAATATAAAATAGAGTTAAAGAATAAAAGGTCTGATTTGTTACTTCAAAACTATACATAGGAAAAGTGAATGGAGATTAGATAAATTCATCAAAGAAATTCATCTTACTCAATAAATTAATGTCCACAATGCAACTGTAAAAAATAGCTACTTACACTTCTACGAATCCCATAGACTTCAGCTCTTCACAATGTCCGAAAAGAGAACCACCTGGGATTCCGAAGTTTCTTCTTTAAAGTGTGCAGGAGCACTGACAAAGTGACTGTTCTTTTTATGAGGAAGTGCTTTTATTTTTATATAACTATATATGTAGATAGATATAAAAATATTTTATATTTTTACATAACCTTCTTGGAATCAATAGAAATGTTTTCCAATTTAGTCATATTCCTTAGGAAATGCCTACTGAGCTTCTACTATCCATCAGCTACTATGTTGGGTATTAGGAACACGTTATTACCTGTATTTGTTTTCTGTTGAAGTCTTCTTTTAACATATGAGTTAAAACATGCAAACAGTTTTCTGTAAAATCTATCGATTAGGTAATAAAGTCTCCAATGAGAAACCAAATACAGAGTGCTGCAGGCTAAACTAGACCTTTTCCATCCCTCATCCTCACGATCTTCATGAACAAATCACCAGAATACTGCCAAATTCTAAAGGGCAAACATTTATACTTCCCTTTCCCCCACCTCAAGACATAGGAAAGCTTCAGAAATGCCATGATGTATCAGGGAAATCTCTCCTACAACTGAAGTGAAAATTCCTTGGCATCTAAAAAGTATTCCCACAGATAATCTGATTCACAATTAGTTTACTCACTTCTTTCCCCACACCATGTTTTTTCTTTCCCCGTTTATTCTCACTTGTTCCAGTTTCAGGTCATGGCATGTTGAACCCTGCAATGCTCAGAAAGGGAGATTCCTTTCTTTGCAGACCTTTCCCACAGTCATCACTCTTTGAGTAACAGTGGTGACAGTGAACACTGCTTTCAAGGTGCCAAAACTTGAAGATTTCTTTTCTGCTACACAAAGTTATATAATTGGTATTTTCATCTTAATTATCCAAGTGAGTGGGAAGTCATTTTGAGATTTGGCTCCCTTGGCTTTGAAACAAGGTAACTAGAAAAGAAACTAACTCATGTGCCAGCTCCTCTAGACATCCATCTATTTCTTCACAGAAAGAAAGATGGAAATATGCACCAGGCCAAGGTAGACCAGTGGCCTTACAGCCCCCTTCTCTGACACAGTGAAGCTTTCACTTGACACCCATTTTCCCTTTTATGGAAGACATCATTCACTATGGCTGCAAAGGGAAGGAGATTCTAGGAGATAATTTATGTCTTGGTATTTCAGCTTTCAGCTTCTGTTTGTTCCTCTTTTCCAAAGGCATTCATTCATCCCTGTGCATATTATTTTTTTTAAAAACCCACCCCACCCAATGCTTATTTTCTGCTTAGAATGTGAATAGCAATAAATAAGGCAGCCTTTCCCTTATACTCAAAAAGCTTAGAGTCTAAAAGGCAAAAGGAAAATTATACAGGCAAATATCATAAAGCATTATGAGTTTTACATTAGAAAAATTGCAAATGCTATGGAAGCACAAGCCAAAAGGACATAATCTCATCAAATGTTCAGGGGAGGTGCAATGTTCAAACATATTGTTCAGGAAAAAAATCAAGTTACAAGCAGCAGTGTACACAATATAACCTCATTTTTGTGTTTAAATACACAGACACACACACACACACACACACACACACACACACACACACACACAGAGATAGAGAGAGAGAAGCACAGAAAAAAAAAATCTGTAAAGATATGGGCCACAATCCACAATATTAACAATGCTTATATCTGATGTGTAAACTTATGAGAACTTTTTTCCTTACCTGGGTTTTCTAAACTTTATAGTTAACTTTATAATATTATTTAACAAAAGTTTTTTTTTTTTAACTGGAGATAGTAAATAAAATCCTTCAATGACATCCTTGTTGCCTAAAAATGCATGTCCAAAATTCCTTGTCCTGACCATGAGCATCACCACCATCCCTCACCCTCCTACCACACCATTCCAGTCTCCAGCCACCAGAGCCACCTCTGGTCAACCAACATTGCACCTTTATGTGACTTAGAACGAGCATCCTCTCTAAGCAAGATTGGCAAGTAGATGGCACATTCCTGCAAGGAAGCAGCACTTCTTTTCCTGGATACTTTCCCATGCCAGGACCTGCTAGCTGGAGCTCAGACCCCATCAGCCTCCTTCATGGGGCAGCTCTGTGATATGCACACACAAGAGGCACCACTCTCGCACTGCCTGTTATGCACCCAAAGTGCTTGCTACCATCCTCTGCCAAGTAAACCATTCATTTCCACAGTGTAAGGCTATGCTTTTGGATCATTCTGGTCCTTCACAGCACCACCTCTGCAATGTCTTCCCAACCCTCCCAGGCAGATATACTGTACAGTCCTTTGTTCTGTAGGAGATTGCTCAGGGTGGTGGGAAAAATTATAGAGAAAGATGTAAACCTTCTTGGAAGGATAGAAGGTTTTGCAAAAGCTTTGGGAAAAGGTTTGTGGCTGAAGGCAGCCTAATCCTCTTACCTTGAGCTAATAGCAAAGAGCAGATAACAAGGGAATGTAGAGGAGTTTATCTAAAAAGCTTATTTACCTATTTCCCCAGAAACAGAAACCAACCTTTGATCATCCTCTGAATGACTGTTCTTCTACTTGGGGGGTCAAAAATGTTAATTACCCACAAATGGTACCTGCTCAAGACATTTGTCATTAAATCTGTTCTAAAATAAATATATGCCTTTTTGGCATATGGGGGCTTCACGGCCAAACTCCAGCCTCTTTGAGGTCTGTTAGCTGTGGGGTCCCCTGGCCATGCTCACACAGGCAAAACATCTGTGTCTGCATAGTTCTGTCATCCATTGCTCAGGCAGAGTCTGCCGGTCAGACTCAGCATTGTTCAATTGTGTTTCTGAATTTTTATTATAGAAACTATTAAACAGAATTTACATATTAATTCAGTTTTGTTTTCTCCCCATTTGAATATAAGCTTTACAAGGTCAGGGACCATGAAAATTATTCAATTGTTTATCCTAAGCATGGTGCTTGGTGTCCAACAATCTCTCAATAAAAGTTTGTTAAATAAATGAAAGCATATGTGAATGTTTATCATTAAAGAATAGATTTTTAAAATAATTTTAACAAAGACATTTTCCTGCATCTCTTAATTTTGTTTCTACAAAAATAATGGCAATACGGGGCCACTCTATGTGTATATGCATTGCCATATTCCCTATTTCAAATAAGGTAAACAAAATCCTTAGAACAAGATCATTAAAACTGTGGTTCTGTTCCATACCTAACATGTTCTGGGACTTGGCGATACCCAATTTCTCTACCTACCACTGAAAATTAAGTTGGTATTACAGATTAGTTGAGGAAGGTATTTTCCTCTCCTAAATGAACAATTATTAGATTTTCAAGTCATTATGAGCCTATAAGCAAAAAAATTAAACTGCTCTGTAAGCAAATGGGATTTTAATTCATAATGTGAATAACTGTTTACATGGTATAGGCCTAAAATTTGAAAAACTAGAGCACTGTATTTAAAGAGACTGTGTTATTTTTAAAAAATGAATTGCTATGATTTTTTTCAGCATTAAATCCATTTTGCAAAATGAGACTGTCAACAAATATATCTCCCTACATGACATGAATACAAATATACTTAGTCTCCTTTCTCCAAATGATTAAAATTACATGTTAAAATATGACACATTGTTTTTATAAGAAAGTTATAAAGCTAAAACATTAGGGAAGCTCAAAAACATGCACAAATGAATACTGTCTCAATTTTTACTCTGCTCAATTTGGATTTTTCCTGAAAGGATTTCTATAAGGGAAAAAAATACCTGCCTCAAGTGGAGACAATAATGTCACAGGGATATAAGTTATCTCATAACACACAGTGCATTTCCAGAGCACAAATGCTGCTGTTCCTCAATGACCAATGTTTTTAGAGGCCCAATAGTTATCTTTTCTATTTCATTAAAAGCACCAGGAGTTGAATGAATTTTATTCTAGGCCACTGGTCTTAAAGATTCTTATAGCCCAAAACCAACCAGACTGACAGGTTATGTGCTGATGTTTTAGTAAGAACATTTACTAACCAAAGAAAGCCCTGCGAGGTACCATACTTCCCAGAAAAATGCTAACAAAACACATTCTCTCTGTGCCTAATGGGTAGAAAAATACCTATGAGTCATACGAGTAATGGCCAAGGAACTGAAGCTAAAAGTTGCTAACCCTATCCAACTACTATTTAAAATACCAGCAGTTGAAAGCACTTTCCGAATGGGGCAAGCGTCAATCATACAGCAAATTCTCCAACACTGAAACCCTGACTATCCACAGCAATGACCCGCATATCCACTTCTTGAGATGCTCCAGGCTGATCGTGTTCTCCTGAAGCTTCCTCTGGTTTTCAATTACATTTCTTTATAAATCTAACCATATTTTAAATATGCTAAAGAATTTATGTTTTAAGAATATATGCGGCTTATCAAGTTTCTTGTATAAACCAAAAAATGTATTTAAGACTGGAATATATGTTGCTCTAGTTCATCTGGTTAGTCAGGATTAATTGGAAACATGTGGGGGTAATTGCCTAGTGCAAAGTGTATTCAGTGACTTAAAAATATACTTTCCCTTTGTAGATATTCAAATAGAATTTTTATAGACTTCTACACTGCTGTACAGGCTTGTGTAAATTTGAGTCATTAAAAACAGACTACTATAATGAAAGAAAATTGACAAATGTCTGTCCTAAACCAAGTATTTCTGGTCCAAATATTACTCTTAACAAGATAAATATGCATAATATTCTATTGGAAGGGCTTTAAAAATATCTCTGGGTCTTCTGTAACCTCCATAAGCTTCCTCTAGATTTTTTAATCCCTGCTAAATTTGGATTAAAAATGAATATAATGAAAAAATTGTTTGATAAGCTCTTTCGCTAAACATATATAGCTAGAAGAATGTAATAGGCAGGCTTAGATGCCACTTGATTCAAGATAATTGCCTATAAAGTGGTCAGAGCTTCAAAGAAAAAAAACTGCCAATTTGCAAAATGAAGCATTTGGTAGTATTTTACCTCTGCTGAAAA